GCGCCCTCCCGTCAATCGTGAATTAGTTTCCTCTTGCGCAAATCCACAACGATATATGACAGGCGGCGATCAAAGATCTCATCCATGCTGTGTTCCCTCTTCACAGCCTCATACATCTTCAATTGGACCACATTCTTTCCCGATATCCCTCTCCGTTATCCCCCCTCGTTTGATGCGCGCATCATACTTTATCCAGGGATAAAGGAAATACGAGACTACTTTTCATGGCGCCAAGTCGATAGTCGGTCCCACCTTTTTCGTGGACGGGGCCAGCGTCTGATCTCTTATCAGCGCACATCAACAACCTCTACAACACCACTTTCTGGGCCCTCATCCGCCGAGAGGGTCTAACACCAAAAGACGCCCATGAGACCCTCCGTGTACGCCTCGTGTGGTTACTTCTTTAGCTATTCTCATCGACATTATTTAGGGGACAGGGTCCAGTCAGAAACAGGAGCTACTCTTTTCGCGATTCAATATCAATTACAATGCTCTACCCTTGCGGTTCCGCAAGGGAAGTGTATTGGTCAGGGAGCAGGTAATGCTTTCATCCCTTCCTTTCATTGTGTCGGTTCCTGGTGAACACATCCCGCGAGTCAGGTCTTCGGCGGTGAGGCCAACGCGAATGAAACTCCACAGGCTCTAGATGTGCCTAGAACAAGCTCGTTTGGGTCAATATCGTCGGTACGTCTGTCGCGCCCTACTTTTTGATTCTCAAATATCTGAGGGTCCGCCTGGCAGACTCAGACCCTCGTCGCGATGAGTGATTTCGTCGCATTGCCAAAAGTGCCAGCAAATCCCAGGGCAAAGCGGGAGTCGACACGGGTCGCATTGCTGCAATGTGACATCATAGGCGATGAATTTTGGAACCATAGGCCATATTTGTTGGACGACCGGGGTCGCAAGTAGTGGTTTGGTTATCGCCGTGGGATCATCGTACGTTTGTGTGTAGCGCGTAGCTCTGGGACTATACTATGGATGCTATGGACTGGACAATCCGGGAGGGAGCCAAAGGCGGAGTTGAATGGTGTCTGTAGAGACAATACAATACGGACGGGTACTTTAACAAGGTTCACCGTCTGGACCACCCCCGTCCATGTTATCTTTTCCCTTCTCCACTCACCCCGCCCCACGGCTCTCAGGGTGCGAGGTTATCAAGACGCCCATCGAAGCCACTTCTATTGTCTGTTTGATTGACAGATCACCCTGCCACGTCCAAAGCGGTCTCCCATGTGAGTATGTCTGAAAAGAGACCACCGTCACGGTGGTCGTGTCATGCTACCACTGCTCCTCACCCGCCACCGCATCTTGGAAGCTCACCGTGAGGGCACTCATAGTCTATGGACCTCCGCGCGATCACCGACCTTGAGGGGGGGCGCTTGCAGTCGGGTAAGTTGTTTGGGCCTGTGGGTCCAGAGGATGATGATTTCCCACCAATTTCAAGTTACAGCCAACCATTGGCAATGGGTTGTGGGTCCACTTTTCTCATCCGCCTGTCCTGCAGGCGCATGCCCTTCTCCGCCTTGACTCCCCTTGACATCCCCCTCTCCGCTGCTCCCCGTGTCCGTGTGGTCCAACAACGTAATGCTGACCAACACTACCTCTCCCCAGATATCGGCAGTCCCACTGCTCCATGGGACCCCGGTGTCCCCGTCCCCGTCCCCCAGCCCCATCAAGTCCCTGCCCCCGCACCGGCGCCACCGTCCACACCGGCTGACGGCTACGTACGCCACAAAGACCGCGGAGGGTCGATTTACCGCGCCCCACAGAGCAAGCGCTCAGATGGCGCGGTGTCGAGCGACCATATCGACAGGGATGGCGAGGACGAGTCCAACCTCCCCTTTGTTCCTCATCGCGTTTCCCCCGGTCCCCGATTTCACCATCCGTCCAGTCCGCACGCCACGCACCCCGTACACAAGGCGGCCGTGCACGCCCCATCGCGTGCCACGCGCATCGCAACGCATCCGGTACGTCTGCGCCCAAGCATTACCTCTCTTTCATTCGAACATTTCCCCCACACCCCGCCGCAAACCGGATTCGTCTTTTTTTGCTCATTGCGTCGTGACTAGACTCGTCGCGTCGACAGCGATCGTGACCGCAGCACGGCTATCAGTGCTGCCGGCGCTAGCACCCAAATGGCCTGGCGACGTGCACGGCCGCATGAAGATGACGAGGACGGAGATGGAATTGAAGAGCGTGAAAGATATCGTTCCCGTCCACGCCGTCACAGCACCGAGCCAGATATATCGCTAAAACCCTGCGCCCCTCATTCTCCTCCAACCCTCATCCCTCGCCATTGTTCACCACCGTCCGCCCTCAGCCCAGCTTCTGATGGCGCGAGCTCACGATCCCCCAGTATAACAGAGCTGGCCTCCATCGCAAGTCCCAGACGCGACCTGGCGCGCGACGTTGACCGCGATGAACCCGATCATTCTCGACGTTGCGATGGGACTGAAGCGCAGTGGTCACCGCTCGCTCGCGGAGAGTGTCACTCATTGGGGCAAAATCTTGCACATCCGCAAGCCGCCGGTCTGGCCGAGGCACGGAGCTCAAGCATCGAATCTGCCGAGGAATGGGACCAAAACCCCGTTCCACCACAGGCCGCCCCTCATCAGCCGGCGCAGGAAAAGACGAATATGCCACCCGTCTCACCAGCGTCTGCCTCTGCTTCCCAGCCTGCACCTGCACCTGATCCTGGGAGTATGTTAAGTGATAGCGAACTCGGCGACGAGACGGTGCATTTGCGTGCCTTGCTGGGCTGCCCACCAGGTGCTCCTGTGGGACTCGACGCGCTCGCGGATCCCCCTCCGGGCGAGAAGCCAAATTATCCATTGCCGACGCTTATTAAGCTCGCTATCTACGGCAGCCCGCGCCGCCGCCTCACCCTGCAAGAGATCTATCAAGCTCTCGAAGATCGATTCGAGTGGTTCCGGGAACGGACCGATGAACTTTCTTGGAAGGTACGTGTAACGCCTAACACCCTTTCCCCTTTGGTTTAGACGAGGACCGTGTGTTACAGAATTCCATCCGACATAATCTATCCTTGCGGAAGTGTTTCCTAAAAGTCCAGCGTCCCATCACGGAACCGGGCAAGGGCAGTTACTGGATGATCGACCTCACACAGGGTGAGGGCAACAAACGAGTGCGCAAGCGCAACAAGAAGCCGACCAAGGGCCAGCTGGCTGCGCAGGCTGCCGCCGAGGCGTACCGTGCATCGGCGCGGCTCCCCGGTCAAGGCGACGGGCACCGTCCGCCACCATATCCTATGCCAGCACATGAACACCCACAGCAGCGAATCGCTGAAGATTTGACGGACGACGAGTGTCAGGCTTCCCCGATGCAAACAAATTTTACCCCAGTTACTCCCCCGGAAGCGTCCCACCACGCTCTGCCGCGCACCTCTACGTCGCAGCAGTCGCAACCCTTGGGAATCGTGTCGCCGCATCAGCGGCAGCGTCCAGAGCAACTGTACTCGGCGACCATAGACCACACCTCCTCGTCGCTTCACCAAGGCCCTGCACAGCCGCTTCCTCCTTCACACAATATCCTTGGCTTTGATACCAACATCGACCCGGCGCTGCGTGTCCTATCCAAGGATGGCCTTGGTCCTCATGCCATTACAGGATCGATTGCCGCATCACGCTACGATATTCTTCCACAGCGCGGTGGTCCAACGCCTAGCACACAGCCTGGTGCCGTGCAGCTCCCTATTCCGCTTAATATGCCCCTGATGGGCGCCGCCCCTCGGCCGCGCGGACAGTCAGTCACGGGCACACCACAGACCCAGCAGCAAGGCCCGGTGAACCACCAGGCTCAGGTGACCTTGTCACATCCATCCTTTGCTCCATCGCAATCTACATACCATCCCCAGCTTTTCTCCCATCAGGGGACGGGGCTACGTACATCCCAGGCCATCTCCATGCCACAATTTGTTCAACATCCGCCCTCCTCCCTCCCTCTCCAGCAACAACAACTCCAGGCGAGCTCGACTTTGCCCCAACCAGATACATCGCGCCAGATGGCAATGGCAATACCCCAGCATCCCGCTCTGACACTGACACAGGCTCAACCACCCACGCGGCTTCCGCCGATGCGCACGCTCAGCGAATCTCCCGCTCCCGCTCCGTCATCGTCACCATCATCATCACAGCTAGCTCCCTCCTTGAGCAGCAGCAGCATCAGCAGTCCACCCCAGCCCCTGCAGGACCCCACGGCCGGATTCGCGCGCTTCGCGGCCCACGTTCCAACCGCTTCGCCAAACCGACCTTTGGCAAGCCCGCACTCGACGTCGTCAACCCGCTGATCATCCCCACACGCCCGTTGCTCCTTCTGCCTGAGGATAAGGATAAGAGGACGCGAGGGAGCGGCGGGGGCGGCAGTGGCAGTGGCAGCAGCCAGCGGCAACGGCACTTTGCTCGGCCGCCTCCTCGTTCCGGCATCGAGTACTTGCAGAGGCCCGATGGTGGGCTCGTCACTGCGCGACGGACCGACGAGCGGCACGATGAAGAAGGTACGGTCGAGTGGATCAATCGTTTGGATCGCCGCGAAGAGAACCGGGGGGCTTGACTGATGCTGGCGCCCCGCGTCCCAGGAAGATATGTTCTGACTGGAGATTGGTGGCTTCTTGTGCAACGCCCACGCCCCTTTCCCCCCTCACTATCCCCTCTTTACGCCCCTCCCTTCTCACGACGCAAATGGATAAATGAATGGAATGCTTTTCCGGTACCGGTATCGTCGCTATCTTTTGCTATCTTTATGCTGTCTATTTTCTCGATTTATCTTTATACAAAGCCCACCCCCTATCCATACACGCAAACACACTACTTTCGCATGCTCATGACGTCCGGCCCATAAACCCCTCTGTACAATCAGTCGACAGTCGCTTGTTTTTAATGTGTTCCAAGGAAGAATAATAAACACGGGATAACATTGTGGTAGTGGTATCATCGCTCTGTGTCGTGATAGAATTATGAGTGTGTGCAAAAGAAAAAGGCATCATTCTTCGGTGCGGGGAATCGAACCCCGACCTCCTCGGATCGTCGCGACAAATCAGTGAAAGCGAGGTATGCTAGCCGTTGCACCACACCGAACCTATCGAGCGCTCCCTCTAACAATTCACATGATGCCAATATCACTCGGAGTACCACGCTACCTTGAATTCTGAAACCAGAGGTATCTTGTGCGGTGTTCTGTGCTTCATTCGAGAGAAACTCACCTCGCGTATCGAAATTGAAGGCACGTGAGCGACAGACATCGGACGGGGGCGCCGTTGTCAACGATGCCTCTTAATCCCTCCCCAGAACCCAGATCTCTCTTCGAAGCGGCCCTGGACGAATTCGATAAGCGAGCGGGCACCAACTTGCTTCAACACCCAATCATCGACTCTCTTGCGAATTGCGAATCTGCTGACACCATCATCGATGTTCTTCAGGAGCAAACACAGGCTTTCCGCAGGTTTCGAGGTGATGATGCCAGTGGAGATGGAGCGGTCATGAAGTGGCTCAAACGGACGGTTCACGTCCTCCATGCACTGTCTACCAGCGACATTCTCGCTGGGTGCATAGGCTTGGTACGGCTGGCACATCGCCATCACACGTGTATCCGTGTAATGACTTTTTTGTTCAGCCATTCCCACCAGCAAATGCCATCTTTGCAGGAATCGGCATTCTTTTTACAGTACGTGCTTTACCTCTGTCATCCTGAGCGCGCTTTTAATGACATCGCGAACATCGTCAGGCAATCAAGGATATCAGTGCGAGCTACGATGCCATCCTAGACCTCCTCGAGTCCTTCGAATCGTTCCTCAGGAGACTCGACATCTATACAAAAGTTCCATCTACGACCGCGATGACCGAGATTATCGTCAAGATACTAATCGAACTGCTCTCCACGATATCCCTTGCGATACAGCAAGCAAGGCAAGGACGACTCAGTGAGTCACCACCCTTCCAGATGCGATACTTTATGATCGAAGATGATGCAGGGAAACTTGGAAAGAAGCTCCTCGGAGAAAATGACGTCGAAGCAGTGCTGCAAAGATTAGACCGATTGACGCAAGAGGAAGCTCGCACCACTGCTGCGCAAACTCTAGACATCGTATATGGTCTTGTGAAGAATATAAAGGTCGTCATGGATGGTGCGCGGGACTTTTCTTACCGGTTTCCGATGCTGTGCTCTGAACCCTATTTATTTGCGTAGATGGAAAGGCCTCAACAGAAGAAATCCATCGAGCTCTCGGTAGGTCTGACACTCGGGATAATGATGTCCTGTATCTGACTGCAGTTGACAGTACTCATGCAACAACAAGCGAGCGACATATATAAATCGAGACGTGCGTTAGATTATCCCCACTCCTTCATCGGCGATAAACAAATTATTCTGCAGGTGACCAGTTGCAAGAAAGCTTTCGACGATGGTTGTCACCTCCAGACCCATCGATAAACCACAACGCCGCACGGAAAGCACACCACAGGGGAACCGCAGAATGGTTCGTTCACGGGAACACCTTTTCGAATGGAAATCGAGGGCAGGCTCACTTATATGGCTCCATGGCAAACGTACGTATAGCCCATCTCTTTTTCATCTCTCCGCCGTGATGGACACAACCAACAGCGGGCTCCGGAAAGAGCCTTCTTTCGTATGTGCTCCTTTCACCTTTCTCATCCGAAATCATTCAAGTCCTGTCTAGCTCCACAATCATTGAAAACATCGAGGAAGCGCGCAAGGCGGGACTGGCCTCTGTCGCGTTCTTCTACTTTGATTTCAAAGACGAGTCAAAGCAGGCCGCCCGAGGCGCACTCTCCTCCCTCCTCGTTCAACTTGCCTTCCAGACAGATGCACGCTCGACGATTCTTCCGACTTGTACTCGGTGCATGGTTCTGGCTCGAAGCAGCCCAGTGAAGACGCCCTACGAGAATGTCTGCGAAAGATGCTGGTGCTCCCGGAGCAAGGGCCGGTATTCATGGTTTTTGATGCAATCGATGAATGTCCTAACAGCGCTGGCACGCCATCACCACGGGAAGCCGTCCTCGACTTCGTCCAGTGGCTTGTCGAGTTACGCTACTCTCACGTGTACATCTGTGTGACCAGTCGGCCAGAGGTGGACATCGAAGATGTTGTCAAGCCTCTGGCGTCTCATATGGTGTCGTTACACGAGGAGGAAGGACAAATTGAAGATATAAAGGGCTATATCATCTTCTTCATCAATTCAGACAGGTGCACACGAAAATGGAGAAAAGAAGACAAGGAGCTTGTAATTAGCAAGCTATGTCAAAGCGCGGATGGAATGTAAGGTGTTATTCATCACGCTGATCCACAAGATTTATCTTATCTGGGGACAGGTTTCGATGGGTGTACTGCCAATTAGACATGCTCCGCCGGTGTCTTCCACAGCGAATTCGGAAGGCCCTAGATGAACTCCCAGACACATTGGACGAGACATACGAACGCACGCTACTGGAAATAGGCAAAGAAAAGTGGACATATGCCTACAGACTCTTTCAGTGTGTCGCCGCGGCTATTCGTCCACTCCGAGTCGAAGAGCTTGCGGAGTTCCTTACGTTCGACTTCGAGGCCGGAGGAAGTCCCATATTCCGGGCGGACTGGCGATCGGAGGACCCGAGGGACACTGTGCTTTCTACGTGCTCAACATTAATTTCAATTGCCAACGTGGATGGATGGCCAGTGGTGCAGTTCTCTCACTTCTCTGTCAAGGAGTACTTGATATCGAGCCGCATTATGGAGGGGCGTGTCTCGCGCTACCATATTCCTCTCGAACCTGCTCATGTCATCATGACCCAGGCCTGCCTTTCTTTGCTGCTCCATCTCGATGATCACATAACCGACGAGCAAATTCAGGGCTTTCCGCTTGTTAACTACGCAGCCCGGTACTGGATAGACCAGCGGGGTTTGAGGGTGTGTCATCGCACACAGAAGATGCGATGAAAATGCTCTTCGATCCCAGAAAACATCATTTCGCAGTCTGGGTCAAGACATATGATTTTGACAGCATTCCCCCTCACATGCGTAAGGGCACTCCGCTGTATTATGCTGCGCATTGTGGCTTCCATATTATAGCGGAGTGGCTGGTCACTACATGTTCCCAAGATGTAATGGTATTGGGCGGTCGCTTCACAAATCCAGTCTATGTCGCATCCCGCCATGGCCATCTCGAGGTCGTGGAGATACTCCTCAAACATGATGCGGCAGCTGTCAACATGCCGGGCGGCCCTTATAAATGGGCTCCGTTGCAAGCGGCATCGTCTTATGGACATCTCGGGGTCTCTCGGGCTTTGCTTGAGTTTGGTGCAGACGTTGATGCCAAAACATCCTCAGAAAGTAGGACTCCATTATATCTTGCGTCGGAGGGTGGACATATGGAGGTCGCAGCACTACTGCTTGAGAACTGTGCTGACTTGAATGCCCCCGCAAATACTGGCCAGACTCCTCTCTATGGGGCATTGCAACGGGGTCATCCGGGGCTCGTACAACTGCTACTCGCGCATGGAGTGGACCCAAATTTCCGAGACGAGGACGGCAGGACTCTACTGCATTTGGCCTCAGGGAGGGGCAACCTGAACGTCCTGCAGGGGCTACTGGATCTCGGGGCAAAGGTACACGTGCGGGACAACCAGGGACAGACACCGCTCCAGGTGGTGTGGGGAGATAGACAGAACGAGATCACGGAATTATTGCTCAAGCACGGTGCGGAGAGAGAGTAGTGCCGCCGAGTCCTCGTCTCTATCTAAGTTGGTCAACGCCCTCTTATCAGCGTGGTAACGATATTGACGTTATCCTAGTACCATGTTTTACGACTTGAATGACACCATGGGCCTGCATCGTGCTGGTGGCGAGCGATGCGATCAAGACTCCTATTCATTCTCTATGGGATTGTCAGGTTCTAAGGGTTGGAGACAAGTGGTGGGCGGGGAAAACTAAATTGGAACCATGGGTTGAAATATGTCCAGTCTCCAGTATAATGATCCAAAAATAATACACTATGACAGATCACATGGAGGGTACATGAGTAGTGCTAATGACCACCGTCACATATTTTGACCCTCCACCGTGACCCTGAGTTAACACATAAGTGTGGATAGTGCGCTGCCCATGCCCCTCGACAAGGGCTTCATATTGAGGTTAAGGATAGATGACACACATACGAATATTTACAGCTCACTCATGGATGCTTCTAAGAGAGTGCGTATCGCTGCGCGATGGGGTTAGTATCCGTCATCTCGCGGTTCTTATAAGTAGAGAAGTCATCAAAAAGGCATGAACGTATGAACACCCGTACAGCGTACAGCAAGGCGTACAGAATGAGACCTGGGGGCAAATCTCGGCTACAAGCTCTCAACCCAACATTCAAATCAAATTCAGTAGGTCCCCCAGGAAGCCCCAGAGGGACAGGCATAGACAGGACTGCACCCATGAACGCACGGGAGGGATGATCTCGCGCGAATCACAATTCGGTGATTGATGACAAAAGCCAGCCTTCCATCAGGTACGGATCCCAGGCCCCAGATCCCAGGGATGGGCCCCTAGGCGAATGTCCCTGAAGGCTCCGCAAGCGAAAACGAGCCATTCCACATTCCCATTTTTCGCACATCGTACGACGCTGCGATGATGATCTCCGCGGGCTGGGAGATAAATGCAAGGATCGTGACAACTTGGAACAAGCCGGCGATTTTCCCACTGTAACATGTACGAGAGAGCGTGCCCCTTTCCGACGCCGTATAACATGGTAAGAATTCTGATGCTCGATGATAAGTCAAGAGGCGGCGCCAGGGATGATATTGTTAATGTTATCGTTTGTCGTGCCGGAAGAGACGACACCCAAGTGACAAATAATTTAAAGGCGTTGCGATGTTGATGCGGCGGCGTGGGTTGGGCCGTATGTAACAGCCTATAGACGTCTAAGCATTTTAACGATATCCTTTTTCATTAAGCCGCCACCACCCTGACGTCTGTCGTCGTACATTCTAAAAAATGCACCCGAGGAACGCCAATTTGTACCCATCGCATTCGCATGACGAACGGGTTGGGACCTGCAAGTGGTGAGTTGGGTGCAACGCAGCATATCTGTTCACGG